CCCCCCACCCCCCACCCAAAAAAAAAACCCAAAAAAAACCACGACAAAAGACCCCCATGCATGGAGCGGCTATTATTTTAAAATCTATTATTAAAAACTAAAGGTATTATAACATTTTTAATAGTTGAGTAAATTAAGAAATTACAGAGATGGACTATGAAGTTGAACAAACAATGATCTTAGCAATGCAGTCGATGACCTACAGCTACGAACTAATAAAGTCAGTATTGACCTGTTCTCAAAAAGAGGGATATAAATTTAAGCTGCTATGGTCTTACAAATGGATGTAAAACTGGTCTTAGTTTGGTCTTAGTTTGGAGCGTGTATTTGGTAACTGGTAAGATGAAGCGAATTTCCAAACTTTTCTCCCAACATTTTCTGTGTTGGTTTGAAAACTTGGTAAGATGAAGCGAATTTCCAAACTTTTCTCCCAACATTTTCTGTGTTGGTTTGAAAACTTAGATAACCGTTAGCATTTTGTAGTTTTAACTTTTAAGTTGTACTTTTTTGTAGTATATATACCTTGTAGTAGATTTACGATGCTTAACATAATTTACTGTTGTAACCAAAAGAACTGATGCTCCTTCTTCCCAGTAAGATCAATTTATTAGGGAGTTGGCATTACCACCGGTAGCTTGAGGACTGCAACTGCAATATTCTAATTGGAGGATATGTATCCATTGCCCTTCCGAAATTACCTAACATATGTTTGTTGTATTTGATCTTTCCTGAAACGTTCACAATCTTTCAACTTCATGAACTCTTATAAACATAGACTTCATCCGTTTGAATAAGCTTGCCCGGTAACCATTTTTCATTCAACTTTATGATCTGTTGTAAAATTGATTGCAGCCCTGATTTCAAGAACGTTGCGGATATATCACTGAGAAGAGTGGTAGATGCTCTAGTTGAGGATGTCATCGTGCACTTCGGAGGAGCAACTGATCCATCATCATCATCAGGCGTTCCCTTGGCAAAAACATTGCCGCGTGTCGCCCAAATGGGCGCCCTATTGCTCGAGGAACCTAGCATCAATAAATATGTCCAGAGCATTCGAAGTTTGCCCGAGTTCCAACACTTTTACACTCTGTTGTACTCCAACATGCCTTTGGAGTTTTAAGTTTGTTTTAGAGGGAAAGGAAATGTTGAGTAGATGTTATATTTTTTGATAGAAATGTTAGGATTAAATTTTATAGGGCCCTTGTTTTCCAATCTGAGGGGTCGGGATCTCAGAATAAAAGGGGGGAAAAGCAGAAATGAATTTGATGGGAATTCTGTATATTATTTCGTCTGTGCGGTCTGCTTATGATTTCTTTTATTCTGATTGTACTGGAACTAGATGCGCCCCTCTTTTGATCCCCTTTTCTCGTATTTCAACAGTAAATGAAGAGTGAAGATTCTGCACGAGATATTTTTTGTAATTGCAACTGTGAAAAGTATCTATGCGGTTATACGGCTGGAAAGAAACAGGGAGCTTTGATATTTTGTGAAGAGCAAGAAAACTATAATATGAAAACGCAGGAAGGAATTTATTTTTCTTTTGAAACTGGCTATTATTTTGCAAGAACGCCGAATTTTACTTGTTCCATTGCACGAATAGGAAGATCACAATGTAGAAAACTCACAGCTTATCTTTCACAAATCTAACTCAAAAGTGAAAAAAGCTTTTATCTTTTCGTAATTCAGACTAGCGAACTTTCAAATTTACCATTATACTTCAATACAATTATCCATTCATAAAAGGATAAAAGCATATTATTCGAGGAAACAACCAACTCTGGGATCCACCTACAACGCCGGTCCTCATACAATGCCGCTTCTGTACAAAGATGTATAAAGCATGAAAGTGAAACTACATGAAAGCAGCAAAAAGAAAATTTCGGTGCACATAAATGTTCAACTTGTACCGAGCAAAGAACTTGCAGTACACCAAAAACTTCGAAAACATCTCTTAAGGTAAAACAAATAAATAGAAGATAGACGGTTGACATCTCACAGTAAAATCCCAACGCAAGTGACTACGTTAAACTGAGTAACTTACAGATTCCTCAGCTGCTTCTTCAACACATCCATTACTGACCCAAAGTTTGCCTTGACATTTATCGGAGGGTTTGCATACCGGCACTCCATGTCAGCAATCTCTTTCGAGTGGTAATCCACCTTTGACTGTGTGAACTTCAAGCCGTGAGCTGTGCTCACCACAACCGTTCGATCGTGGGTCCCTATCACCCCACTATTCCTCAACTTAATCAACGCAGCCAGAGCTACTCCGGTATGCGGGCAAGCAAACATCCCGGTTCGATCAGCCTGACTCATTGCATCCATCAACTCCTCCTCTGTAGCCTCCTCAACAATCCCGTTGGTAGACTTGACTGCATGCACTGCCCTATCAATCGACACAGGATCTCCAATTTGAATAGCAGATGCAAAGGTTTCACCTGCTGTGACAGGTTTGAAATCGGTCCAGCCTGACTTATAGTGAAGGTATAGAGGGTTGGCATTGGCAGCTTGCGCGCATACCAACCGCGGGACCCTGTCAACTAAGCCGAGTTCTCGGCACATGTCAAAGCCTTTGAAGAAGGCATAGATGTTCCCGAGATTGCCACCAGGGATTATGACCCAGTCGGGGACTTCCCAATCAAACTGTTGCAAGATTTCAATGGCAGCGGTCTTCTGGCCTTCAAGGCGGAGGGAGTTGAGGGAATTGGCTAGGTAGATGGGGAGCTCGGCGGTGACTTCTCGAATGAGACGCATGCAGCCGTCAAAGTCTGTGTCTAGGGAGAGGACGGTGGCACCGTTGGCTATGGGCTGGACGAGCTGGGCAACAGAGATGCGATCAGCTGGAAGGAAGACAATGGAAGGGATGCGGGCAGCTGCACAGTAAGCAGAGAGGGCAGCGGAGGTATCACCAGTGGAGGCACAGCCAACACCGACGATGGGGCGCTTGAGCTGGCGACGGAGACGATTGACCTGTAAAGGCAAAAGTAAAAAGTTTTGGTGATGGTTTGTGCTACACTAGGAAATAAGAGAAGGCGTGGTAAGAAAAAGTTTACAAAAACTTCAAGACAATGACTATGCTATTAATAAAGAATGAACTTACGCTAGGTTTCTCATGTAAATCAGAAAAATTTATGTTCTCCTCGAACTAAATGACTAATGAACAATTTATAATTGACTTAAACGTGAAGGATAATTAGTTTGTAATGACATGAGGGAGTAAATTTAAGAAATTATAAATTACTCATATGATGCTTTAATAATCTTAAAGTCCCTAACCATTATATTTATACCAAAACTCTGAAGTTGGGAGGAGGACTAAGGTTATTGCTTTAATTTGTAACATGCCCATGCAGGTTGACTGCCCTTTTTTATCGATTGAAACCTAAAGTCTAAACTCACACAGTGGTGTCAATTTTTAGAAAATCCATTTTAAATGGCTGGTGGGATTTTAACCTGGGTTGCTCAAATACCATTTGTTGGGGAGTAATCAAGTCAACTAGGGAGTAATCAGGTCCAACCTAGAGTTAATTGGCCTTAAATAGAGGCCTAATCAGCAACAAATAAATAGTTCAAACCGTCCTCAAATACTAGGTAGCCTATAAATAAACAAAAGCAGTTAAGATAAAATAATAATATATATTCTTCAAAATTTCTGACTGCATCTTGGGAATTTATAATCAATCAATAAATTCTAACATAATGTTTAGTATAAATTGTAACATCTACAATAAGGTGTAACTACAACGAGAGAGTTCTAGAATCCGTAGTACTTGCCGGAGATCATGACAAAAATGCAAAAGGTTCACAAGTAAACATTATGTCATGAAAGATACATATACAAAGACAAACGGTAAGCTGGTTACAGACAAGTAGTGAAGCATAGCATATAAGCATATTATCATATGAACTTGGATTCTGTCAATTTATAAAATAAATAGCTTTTGATTTGAAAATAGGAATGTTATTTTGATATAGATACAACAACAAAGCTTTTATCCCAATTTTTTAGAGCTGGCTACATAGATCCAATTCTTCTTCTATTTAGTTCTATAATGGGTCATCTCTTTTGTGTTAGCTATTATCCATTGTTTTAAAAGTGTCACGCCCTAGCACTCAGGCGAGGCAATTTTACAGCTCCACATTGTGTAATATGCCAGACTGCACTGAAGGTTAGAGGCGAGCATTTGAGAGACGACAAAAGCTGTCAGGTAGGTGTCTTTCATGTGTCACCTCCAATGTTACATTAAACGTTGGGCGCTTCTAGGCGTCGGACTTGGCGCCCAACGTTTAGTCGTCTAGGCGGACGCCTAAGCGGTTTCTGGACGTTTTTTTTTCTTTCTTCATTTAAGTGGTGATCGATGAGGTTTTGCTAAAGGTCGGAGGAGGTAGTGGTGATGTTCATATTTGAAGGTTAATGAAGTTTGGAGGACGTGTAGGCTACGGCACATAAAATCACAATCAAGACCTACAGGATGCAATCTATATAAGCAGACAATCTCCCCTAAACGCTTGTAAAATCTAGGTAGGCAGCCTAAATACCGCCTAGACGCTAAGCGCAAGTTAGGCGGCCTAGGTACCGTCTAGGTTTAGACGTACGTCTAAGCGGACTAGGCGAGGGTTTTTTTAAACAGTGGTCACCTCTATTTTTGGAGTTTGAAGGGCTATTTAGACTCTTATTTTACGTGATAATTTACTTCAGGTGTACTTTGTTGAGGATCTACATTCTCAAAAGATAAAATATTTGGATAATTTGTTAAGTGAATTGAGGATTATTTAGAATTATAACTCTTCAATTTCTCTCCATTTTCTTTTTCTTTCTGAGCCTTTGGCGGTACCTTTGACTATCGCCTTCCTGCGCTAGCAACCACAAAACAATCACCAACAACAGGTTGTCTTTTTTTTGTTTTTTGTTTTAATTTGTTTTTTATTTTTTGTGTTATTTTTGGTTGATTTTCATAATAATCTGCCTACTGCCTACATCATTCGAGAATACGCCACCTGTTAAAAGATGAAAGTTCAAACCTTCACTTAAATTATGTATACTAGTAGATACTAGTTAAAATTTAGAACTAAATTTTGCTATATTATTTAGATAATTTATACCATATTCGTTCTCATAGTGTGCGACTTCACAGATTTGATTATGATTCACTTATTTAATGTTGTGATCTATTGATTCTGTTTATATTGCATTTACTTGCACGCGATTTGTATGTTTTATGATCTTTTTAACACTCACCACCTTGCTTCTGCTTCACTCAGGCGATATCCTTTTGTAATGTGCCTCGTCTTAGGCGATATAGGACCTTGTCGCCTTGACCTAGCCTTTCAGCTTAAAAACACTATGTTTCTCATATTCTTCTTAATTGCTTCCAGAAAGTCTTTTTAGATCTACTTCTAGTTCTCTCCTCTTTGTCCCATGAACTATGATCTTATCACTTGTTCTAACTGATCAAACCATCCCATCAACTCTACAAACATATTTTATTATTTAATATTCGCATATATTTCTATATGTATTCTTAGGGGCGGGTTTTACACAATCGGAAAATATAAGGGAAAGTGTGTGCGGTGTTGTGTGTACTATTAATATATATATAGATATATATATATATAGTATATATATAATATATATATATATATATATATATATATATATATATATATATATATATATATATATATATAAATATATATAATATATATATAATATATATATATATATATATATATATATATATATACTATATATATATATATATATAATATATATTATATATAATTTGAGTTAGCATGTCGTGTGGATGCTCGGACCGAAGACGCAATAGATCAATGTTTTAGAACCTTGGTGTATATCTACAAGACAATCATAACATTCTAATTTCTGCTACACTTATCTTTCTCAAATGTACTTAATTGCACGGTATTCTGATTCATAAAGCACTGTCAGTATTACAACTATTCTATAGAGTTTTCTCTCCAATCTCTCGTAAGCATCCTACTACCACATAAGACTTCAGAAGCATTCCTCCATTATAACCATCGTATTTTGATTCGATGAACAACACCATCTTCAGAAGTACCCCTCCATTTTAGCCGCCCTATTTCTTAACCGCAATATCTACTATACACTCATTCCTCTACATCATTGTGCTAAAAGTGCATTCTATGTGTTATGTTTTCCCCCACTACTAATTCTATACCCTTTACATTTCAAGAGCTTCTCTCTACCTATCTACGTTACGAACAATCTCTTTTGTTACAAACTCTCTCTTTCCTATTCTCGTCAAATAATACTACATCATAAGCAAATAACATACGCCCAGGGACTCCTTTTTGAATATCTACATACACGTTCAAGAATAGAACATTAAACCTGGACACGTGAGCACGAGACAACCACGCATGAAGGTCAAATAAGCAGTTTATTGGGTTAGGAGCACAAATTCTCGAAACGATGTCAGAAAATGCAAAACCTGCGAGACGAGGACAGTCATCCCGAGATCCTTGAACGACCCCGTGTGTGAGATGCCGCAATGCTTGACCCACAAATCGTTCATCCCGTCCAAATAATCCATCCCCATCCTCTCCGCCCAGAACAAGTTGGAGTTCCCCTCGAACAGCGACACGATGTGATCGGGATGGATCTCCGGCAGCACGAACTCCTTCTTGCTCCAGACCCCGGACCCATAGGGCCAGGTCGTCCTCCCAACCCTGGAGTCGAACAGAGACCTCCAGTAGGACCCGGGGAACTCCTTCAGGGCGTCGAGGTCGTGCTGGACGTCGAGGAGGCCGCCGGATCGAGATCGGTAGACGAAACCTCGTGAGGGAGTGAAGTGCTCGTCGGAGGGAGCCGGCCGGAGCGCCGAGGGGAGTAGCGGGCGGAGAAGGGTTGGGCGGTGGTTGGTGGAGGCGTCGCGGAGGCGGGCGGCCTCCTCGCGGATGTTCTCGTCCGGCGGGGCGGGCTGGGCTGCGAAGTGAGGGAGTTGGAGTCGGTGGGGGAGGAGCAGCAGGAAGATCTTGTAGGGTTTTAGGGGGAGGCTAGGGTTTTGGGGGGCAGAGGGAGAGAGAGAGGGAGATGGCGGCCATTTGATTTTTTTGGGGATTATTAAGAGGGAGGCGGCTGGGAGCTGGCGAGATTGAGTGGGGTTTAGGTCCTCAGCGCCAGCGGTCGGTAAACGCTAGGTTTATTTGAACTTTCGGCCGTGGAATATTGAGCAGATGTGGAAACTAAACGAGATAGAAGTTGTTATTATTTTGGTAATTAGAATTTTTTTTCCTTCTAGGTGTCATTGGTTACTAATTGTTTGTTATATACTGCTGATATATATATATATATATATGAGCTAAATTGTCAGATTGGTATTAAAAATAGCGCCTAATAACCAGATTGGTAATAAAAGTAATTCCAACGACGGTAATGCATTTAAACTTGCACGATGAGGCAAATAGGTTCAAAAATAAAATTTATGTTCATTTTTCCCGCAACCACTCAGGGTAACATGCCACATATGATTAGATGACATATTTATAAAGATGTGGCAACTTTAGTTAATCTTATTGAACCTATTAGAAAAGGGAATTTTCAAATTAGAGTAAAAGAAAAGATTTTTTTTATTTGAGACTTTTTCTCCTTCTTTCTTCAAATTGAGGGTTCTTCATTGGTTGAACTCAATGAATTCATGTTCTTCAGCAATGGAAAACCCCCAATTTAATAGAAGAATGAGAAGAAGCCCCTAAATTAAAACTCTCTTTTTTTACACTAATTTAAAAAATAACCCCCTAATGGTTTGAATTAGACTAATTATAATTGTCATGTCATCGTAAATATACCTTATAAGCATCTCATGACAGATTATATGAATAGTCGACGAGAAATTTATTTTTAGATCAAATTGTCACGTCGTGCAAGTTTAATTACCTTATCATCGCAAGAATTACTTCTAATACCAATTTGGTTGTTAGGTGCAATTTTTAATTATCAATCAAATAATTTAGCCGATTATATATATATATAGGGAAAAATGAATCTAAGGTGACACCCTAGGCTCCCACCTAAGGACGCGACCTAAAATCACATCATTTCCTAATTTTTTTGCGATCCGCTCCGTTGAACTTGATCTACACGTTCTTAAACCCAAAAACATTAATTTTGGGGTGAACCCGTCGTGTTTTGACCCTTTATCCTCTGGCTACAATTTTAACGGTTTCGAATGAATAGAACTTTTTGCAACGCTCAACGATTGGTCAAAACACAACGGGTTCACCCCAAAATTGGTGTGTTTGGGTTTAAGAACGTGTAGATCAAGTTCAACGGAGCGGATCGCAAAAAAATTTAGAAAATGATGTGATTCTAGGCCGCATCCTTAGGTGGGAGCCTAGGGTGTCACCTTAGATTCACTTTTCCCATATATATATATATATATATATATATATATATTATTATATATATATAAATATATATATATATATATAATATATATATATATATTATATACTAAGAGAGAGAAGAGAGAGAGAGATTAATGGGTATCCTTGTCATAGGAGGGGATTTCTCCTATGACGCTCTAAAATCACATGATTGAGCGATATTGTGGATGATACCGCTCCGTTGAACTTGTCTATATATTCTAAAACCCTAACACACCAAGTTTGGGGTGAACCCGTGCGTCGTTTGACCATTCATCCACTGCGTATCAATTTTAACGGTTTTGAATGAATAGAACCTTTCACATGGCTCGATAGAGGATCAAACGACGACGGATTCACCCCAACTTGGTGTGTTGGGGTTTTAGAATATGTAGATCAAGTTTAACGGAGGCGGATCATCCACAATGTCGCTCAATCATGTGATTTTAAGAGGCGTCATAGGAGGAAATCCCCTCCTATGACAAGGATACCGCATTAATCTCATATATATATATATATATATATATATAATATATATAATTATATATATATTATATATATATATATATATATATATATATATATATATATATATATCTATATGTGTGTGTGTGTGTGTGTGTGTGTGTGTGTGTGATGTGTGTGTGTGTGTTGTGTGTGTGTGTGTGTGTGAAGAGAGAGAGAGAGAGAGAGAGAGAGAGAGAGAAGAGAGAGAGAGAGATGTGTGTGTGTGTGTGTGAGAGAGAGAGAGAGAGAGAGAGAGAGGAGAGAGAGAGAGAGAGAAGAAGAGGAGAGATGGTAAGCTACAATCTTATCGTGAGCTAGATTAATCTGCTCATCATGTTCGTGATTGACATTGTACATATTTTTCAATACATCATCAAATGAATATAGAAAATTTTTCACATAAATTAGAGTATTCTAGAATATGAATCAAATTATTTTGATATGTTAATTTTTCGGACAGTTTAACACCCGTCCCTCTACACATAAGGGTTGTTTGGTTTTGTGGATTAATCTTGATACATATAATGGACTTTGAAAAAACCATGATTTAAATCGTGTTTGTTTGTGATGGATATTAAAGATGATTTGCATGAGAAATACAATCCAATCAAATTTTGTTTGGTTGTACATGTATTTTATTGAGGATATGCGATTAAGTTTATAAATCCGATTGAAATTAGTATATTTTTAGTGAAGTTTATTTGATCTATTTATCCTATGTGGCAACCCTAAATCCATGTGCCAAAAATGACAAGCAAATAATGTATGTGTTAAAAATTCATGATGTTTAACTTGCGGGTCCTATTTTTCTAATGCAATGATGCAAAATTCATGGAAACAAATAGCCCTATATCTAAAATAATGATAAAAAATTTCAAAACAATATAATTTTTCTATATATAGATTATGATGAGTGCAAATCACTATGTGTGGTACCGATCATTATTTAGAGTAGCCTATTGGGCTAGCTAACGGTAAGAATCTTAATTCGCCATCTTCTTTTATCATTTTTCTATATATATCATCTCATTTTATCATTTTTCTATATATACCAAGAAAACACCTCTATTCTCTTTCCCCTCTTTTTTCCCCGTATGTCCGCTATTGGACAGAGATTCAGATTCTCTCTGCTGTCAAAAAAATAGTGGAGTGATCACTACTTAACCACAACTATTGATTATCTAGTGGGTGATTATGATTTTTTTAGTATAAATTAGGAATGAATGCATACATGAATATCTAAACATTAATACCGAACTAAGAAAAGACAATCTAATAAAATCAATAATTAGAAATCCATAACACGAGACTGGTACGTCTCGTGTTGTAGGTTTCTAAATGTTAATCCTACTTAGATACGGAAAAAATGAATCTAGGTAGACTATACTTAATAGATAGAGGCTTCACTCCATCTAGTAGCCCTTTCCCTGAGGGCGGATGGAGGTAATCTTGCTGTAGCGCTCTGACGTTCTTGTTGTTGTTTTTTTCTTTTAAAATTACTTTTCAGGTAGTTCGGAGTTTCGGAGAGCCGTAGGGTGACGGAGTTCTGGCATAGTCGCTGTCGCGTATTTTTACTTGTAGAGACTCCACTGTAGTTTTGAGTTTTATCCAGACATTAGAGTTTTATATTCATATTGTAAAGGCAGTGTGCCTTAGTACGATTCTTAGTTGATTCATGTTGAGACATTTTCATTATTCAGATATCAGATGTATTATAGTTGAGACATGATTCTTTTCATTTATGAGATATCTCTTCTATATCATGTCTATTACATTCATTCCATTTATTTTGCCTTTTTGTACCTGCACTTCTATTTGGTTCTACTAGAGGATATTACTGTGATTGGTGAAATATGTTTATGCACAGTGTGGGTGCATGACAAGTTTGACATCTCTGGTTTCACCTTGGACTGCAGCCTTGTGTGAACCCAGGGGCGTCACAGTTGGTATCTGTGAGTGTTAGATTTAGAATGTATCGCAATAACAAACTATATAATTAACTGTTGGGATAAAAATAGTGGTGTCTCTATTTTTTTATTTTTTTATTTACAGTGGAGAGGATCCAAATTGATTGGATAGACGCAATTGTGATTTCTATCCATACTTTTAATTATACACATTTTTCTAAAAAATAAAAATCAACATCTCAAACCTTGAGATAAAATTAAAACATAATCTTCTGAGTCAAAATAATTTCATATCAAATAAAATGTTTGGTCCACCAAATCTAAAAGCCCTTAAAATTAAGATACAAATATCACTTGCTCTTTTGTTTTCATTCTTTGTTGGGCTTCATGGTTGTTCTTTCTTGGGCTTTGTTTGGGCCCTTATTGCTGCTTTATTAAAACTTTTCTCTCTACTATTTGGTGTTGTTTATGGGCTGTGTTTGTACTATTTTTAATTTTTAATTTTTTTCCATAATCAACTTTCCTTTTGACGCAAATTTTATAAATTTATGGATTGTTTTTTTTACAATGTTAAAAAAGTATAGCGCTTAAATTAATAATGTTATTCTTTATGTTCTTCATTATTGCCATAAAATTTGTTATAATAATAATAACTATATTATTCTCTTCTACACTGAGGTTATAACTTCTTTGGATATTAATTTTCTTAGCAAGGCTGTTATGAAATTTAAATAAATAAAGAAAGATGGGATGACAATGAGATAGATTTGAAAATATTTCCCATATAAGCTTATGGTGAAGTGTTTAAAATAAAACTATATATACAAGAAATGTGCAGCATGAAAAATTATTACCCATAAGGTTATGTTGAGTTTGCAGGGGGTAGATTTGAATTAAGGTCAGCACGTGACTTAGGTGACGCTGGCTTCAAGTTCAAGCCCTATCCTCTCTTCTGTTTCTATGGCTGTGAATGCACCGGCTTCTGCGTATCCATCCTTGTTGTCTCAAATATGGAAAAATATCTATCACAAATTTAGACATTTGATGACACACAATTTATCAATGTTTTCACTTAATTTTTACCACTATCCACATAAACTTAACATCACCATCACCAACATGGCAATAATCCACAAATTCAGAAACAACCTACTGCGAATAGAATAATTAATATGGAGAAACTCCTCATATAATGTACTCGTATTAATGTTTTCGAATTTAACGAAGCAATTAAACCTCTAACAAATTAAGTTACAAGCAAGCATAACATATTGCAATATTGTTATTCTCGATCTTCATTGTAACTTCAAAATTTAAGGGTAGTGAAGGACAATTTGAGATGGGACCTCAGACTAAATCTCATCAACCATATGTGAAGTGAATTTTAGAAAAAGAAACATACCCGTATGAAATAATCTAGACTTGAATTCTTTGAGGAGACGATAAGAGTATAAAGCTTTAATTCTCAATTCTCTTGTGAACTTAATTTGGATTTTGATGCAGTGAAAGAGACTTGAAGGGATATTAGACACGTATCAATAAAAAAAATACATATCCCAAACGAATAGGTAAAATCAAGTATAAAGGAAATCAGACTATTAGGTCCGTACTCAAACAAAGCCCACATTTATTAATTACAAAGTATAAGCTACATTGACTATAATAATGCATTCCGTAAACCTCTTTTTGCTAGAAAATGCGCCTTTATACTTGATGTGGCATGAAAAGGGTTGTTTTATCACCATGCTGCCACACAAAAAAGTTTTGTTTTTTATCTTTTCTTGTCATATATGCTTTGAACTCAAAGTCTATTAATAGACAGATCAGAATAATATGCAAATGAGCACTTGATACGGCGTAGTATCTTGAGTCCCTATTTTTTCCACCACCTTATTAATATGTATAAGTGGAAATATTTATAGAAACGACAGTAACCACTGGATTACTCACAATACATAGTTATAGACATAAATCTTTATAAAAATATTTATTAATTTTCAGGTCTAATGAAAAAAAAGGGCTGGTTTAGTAGTGAATTTGAATGTGAAAGACTTAGATTAAAGAAAAACAATAATATGTTAAGGATTTATCCCAATCTACTGTATTTTTACGTATTTACACAGAAGACAACAGAACAGTCTGAACTCCTAAATTTACAGAAAGGTTAGACTATAGAATACAATAAAATGATTTTTTCTTGGCAGACGACATCTTAGAGGTGCTTTTTGAGATTCTATTAGAGGATATTCCAAACATTTTGGAAACATATGAGTTATTTTATAAACGAAAAGTTTATAAGTCGACAGAATTGATTGGTCGTCAAAAAAATTCATTGTAGGATATGGTCATGATTTATCTTGATAAGAAGATGTAAGTTAGACTGGAATTTAGTCAAAAGCAGAGCAGCCCCTTAAAACCAGCAAATAAAATAAAATAAAATAAAATAAAACCTTTATTCTTTATAAAGATCAAGTGGTGCCGTTCTCTTTCTTCTTTAGAAAATGGAATCAATCTACAAAAGAAAGATACTTTCCATGTTTAACTTATTATTACTATCTTCCACAAAAGTTTTCGGTGGTAGCTGTTTAGGCTGGGCCCACCTTTGCTTTTAATAGGTTTGACTCTTTGACATACAAAATTATTATAAAATAGGATTAGAAAACGCGGAGACCAGTGGCGGTGGTGACCGGCCAACCTAGTGCCGCTCCCCGACCCGGTCACGGCGGGAAAAGTGCCATCATCATGTACCATTAAATTGATATATTATGTTGACTTAACATGGTTGATTGCTTAATTGTTTAACACAACTGTAAGTTTTAGCGATTTAAGATTGACAGTAAAAATATATAACGTTTTCATTTGTTTTTGTGTATGAATTTTTACAGGCGTCGTTTCAATATCAGAAGTGAATTGATGACAAATTTCTATTTTCCAATATTTGATGGGAACGTGATTGTTGAAAATAGTCTGAAGGATGGTGGAGAAGTTCTTCGTCAAATAATAATAATAATAATAAAAATCATCATCATCATTCGTTGTATTAATTTGAAAAAACATTAGATGATACGTCATAAGTATTGTGGATTGTAACTCAGAAGATGTAAATCATCTTTTAGTTTCAGCTTGTTATAGTCATTTTAGTGATGGAAATAATCTCTAATTAATGATAAACAAGTGTCTCATATTATGTATAATCAAGTCAGTACCTTAAAACAATTAGAGGCTCAACTCGGTCGACTCGACACGCCGACATCTTGCGAGGACATTCGAAAGGCGTCACATGTCGACACCCCGAAAGACGTTACATTATGTCGTCTCTCGGCTAAGTCGACTACCTAACCACTCCACTCGGCCCACTAATCGGCCGACACCTTGCGAAGGCAACTCAAAAGGCGGTACTTCTCGACCACTAGACGAGTAGAAAGACGACGAAACGCCTAGAACATCGAGCCCCTCCTATGCACTGATGATCAATCACCTTGCCATAAATACCATTAAATGCATTATGGGCGCCATCATTCATCTGCCTATAATAGTATTTATGACACATCGGACTACGTCGACGATGCACATCCCCATCACTTCGCATTAAACACCAAAGTGACATCTTCTCCACTCGTCGGCCGACACATGTAAACTTGAAGCTAACTTGCCCGCCAGCCCATGTCTGGCCGAAAGTTACCATCCTACCCTCCTTTCACTACTATAAAAGGAGATACTATTTTTCATTACAGAGTAAGCTTCTTTTCCATCATTCTCCAAACTTAAGAACTAGTACAACTTCTTTTCCATCGTTCTTTGAACTTAAGAACTTAAGAACTAGTACAGTTCTTTTTACTTCTCCACACAAGCAGCCCGCTGACTTGATCGCCGGAGGAACAACCGGGGAATCACGCCCCGTCATCTTACGATTTCTTACTTGCGCAGGAAAGTACAGTTTGCCCAATGACCAGACATTCAGAGAGTTAGAGGACATCTGTCAACTCAATTAACTCCTTTCATTTGACTGTGTGATTCCGTATATCAACACAGCTAAAATAACATTTGATTTGTGATGAAAATAGATTTTCTATGGTAAATATAGATAAAAGTTAAGGTCGTAATTTACCATTATTTTTTTATGAAACGTTGTAAGTTACTAAACACTGATCATTTACATCTCAAAATATATTTTCCAAATATCGTAATTGACTAAATACTACTATATATCTCAAATTATATTTTCCATGGTTAAAGTGTACGTATTCAAATGATATATTTGAGATCAATTCCCTATGTCAAATGGTACATGAACATTTCTTTCTTACATGCTAACACCTTATTACATTTATAACTATGCTCCTAATAATCTTAGGGGGTGTTTGTTTCAAATTCTATAATTTTAGGATATAGATTTCACCATGGGATTTGAAAACCATAGGTGTTTTGTTATGGGTTATGATTTTCTAAAATGTTGTTTGTTTCATTAATATTTTGAGATTTGGAATACTACAATTTGTAATATTTTGTTTGTGGGAGAGGATTTTGCTTGCGCAGGAAAGTACAGTTTGCCCAATGACCAGACATTCAGAGAGTTAGAGGACATCAGTCAACTCAATTAACTCCTTTCATTTGATTGTGTGATTCCATATATCAACACAGCTAAAATAACATTTGATTTGTGATGAAAATAGATTTTCTATGGTAAATATAGATAAAAGTTAAGGTCGTAATTTACCATTATTTTTTTATGAAACGTTGTAAGTTACTAAACACTGATCATTTACATCTCAAAATATATTTTCCAAATATCGTAATTGTCTAAATACTACTATATATCTCAAATTATATTTTCCATGGTTAAAGTGTACGTATTCAAATGATATATTTGAGATCAATTCCCTATGTCAAATGGTACATGAACATTTCTTTTGTAATATTTTGAGATTTGGAATCACATAATCAAATGTTATTTGTAATATTTTGAGATTTGGAATACTACAATTTATAATATTTTGTTTGTGGGAGAGGATTTGTAATATTACACAATTTGTAATATTTTGTGGGAGAGGATTTTGCTCAAATTGTAGCATTACCAAATGCCAAAATTTTGTAGTATGATGAATATGCTATCTTGGTGAGGTTATCTCCCACAAAAAGACAAAATTAAGATTTGTCAAAATCATTTCCAATTGAGAGATAAGCACACTTATTTATGGGATTTGTCAAAATCCTCTCCCATTGAGAGGATTTGACAAATTCTAAAAATTGGATATTTTTTACACTTTTGAGATTTAACATTCTAAAAATTTTCTTAAAACAAACTATGATGGAATCCCAAAATAAAAAAAAAAACTTATTTTTTGATCCCAAAACTTGTAATGATAAACTTTTTTTTGAAACAAACACCCACTTATAAATGTTGGGCGAAATGTTGCGGGTGACGCAAGAATTCTGGTAATTTTGGATAAGGCATCACATGGGGCTTTTCAGTCTCAAGCTGACCGCCGCTCAAAATAGAAGCTATCACAGCCGTCCATTTTCTGATCCCAGACACCAAAATAAGAACGAGATTCGGTGGTCATCATCGAGAGAAAAGGGAGCAAGCACGCGTACTGTACTCATGAAGGAGTGGTCCCCGCACTAAGATAGCGTTTTGGCAAAGCTCAGGAGGATTCACCAATGAGATATTCGAACAGATCAGCCGAGGGTGACAAAATAAGAAACAGCAATTAACAAGCATGAGCACGAATTTAGCTTATATATTTTTCCATGAAAAATTTCTCAAGGATCCAAAATATGGGACCAATAGGGAGGACAAGTGAGGTGTCCCCCTCTTATTGGATAATGAGTTGGTCATTATTAATGATGACCAACTCATTATCCAATAGGAGGAGACACATCACTTGTCCCCCGTATTGATACCATATTTTGGGTCCCTGTAGCAAAGCTTTTTCCATTCTTACTGTTTTAAGTGTGAAGAAGATAGAGCAAGTGCAATGCAATCGCGGAGCTCATTAACCTAAACGTTTTAATGAAAGTTCATGTTTCCGAAAACAATTATATATTGCCATTTTCCATAAAGATGTTTATGAAAATTCCTTTAATTTATCCAAACTATAAAAAATCTTCTCGTGTTTGTAATTGCTTTGATATGATGAGGTATTATTAAGTTATCTTCCATCATGATGTTATTTGAATGCATGCCATGTTAGTAGTCTAGACAATTAATGACCACTATCACCAATTTTCTTTTTCCAGTTATACGTTAGTATGGAAGCACATTTTTTTTATAGATAGATCTTACGACATTTACTTGGTAGGTGTGCAACGGTCGGTTCGGTTCGGTTTTTATCAAAATTTGAACAACCGAACCGAACCGCCTATAATTCAAAATCGAACCGAACTGTTGCAAGTCGGTTCGGTACGGTTCGGTTCGGTTTGTTCGGTTCTAACTTCATCAAACTTCTTATCAAACAACAAACTGTGTTAAAGAAAAAAAAATATCAACAAAGTAGGAGATTATGAAGCATTAAACACTGATATATTGATATTGTTTTCAACCCATAATGATCCAGAAAATGAGTTTAGAGTTTGAGTCTTTGACTCTTTGGTGATGGGTCGGGTAGGGTTTGAGATCAGAATGGGTAGTATTACACTATATTCGGTCGGTTCAGGTCGGTTCGGGTTGAAAAATTTTCAAACTGACCTGACCCGCCATATTCATAAAACCGATTTTTTCGAGTCGGTTCGGGTCGGTTCGGTCGTTTTTTTCGGTTTGGACCGAACCATGCTCAGCCCTGAGTGATAAGCACCATACTTTTTAGTGTGGCTTCAAGATGCATATATCTTATATTACATATACAAACAAAAAATAGATAGCTCTGCCTCTGATTAAACGTGAAGAAGTTCAAGTAGGATTGTAAACATATTGAAACAAATCAGATACAACACTCATGATATTAGTATCTGATTACTTATCACAGATATGGAGATAAATAAGCGAAACTCATATCCCGCTATTCACAAAAGAAAAAAAGATGCAGACACCGTTCAATGAATATGAGAAAACTAGATAATTTTTTTCTATTAATTTAATGGTCAAGATAGGTGTAACTGTATCGTTCAACGCTAATTATGTTTCGGTTCAAAATCTGGATATTTCACTATATATCTGTTTCCACAAAAAAAGTAAAAAAGGTTAAAAGCTTGCGATTCCAAAGAACACCGAAAAGCACACGTAGTCTGTTATGCGGTCTCAATCCGATCCCCGCGCTCGAGCCAATTAGGCAGGATTAGAATTCGGATTCGCCAGAAATCAGTTCCTTCGAGCGCCACTCCACAGACTTCCTCCTCTCACGCCACCTCTCCTTTTCCTCCCCCACTTTCTTCTTTCTTTTTCATATCGTTACTCTCCTTTCTCGGCCTCCCCATAATAACTGCGAACTATGAACTAAATCCCGCCCCCCTAACCCTAAACCTAACCCATAACCCTAGATATTAATTATTCTAAAATAAAAAAAAGGCAAAGAGAAAGAAATCCCCGAGTCATCTCTATATAAGATGCAGGTGACCCGGTCTGCTCCCACAAGAACCCTAGACATCGACATGGCACCCTCTCCGCCTCCTACCCTCCTCCTGCAATCTACGCCTCCTCGCCTCCCTCCCTCCTGCGCCCCCCTCCCCGACGCGCAGCCGCCGACCGCCGCAGTCCCAGGACGACCTCAAGCGCGCCGCCGCCCAGCGCCGTCGACCAGTGCGGCTCCGGCATGGTCCGTGGCCTCGGCACCGGCTCCACCCCATCCACCGCCCTCCGGCGCATCGCCGACCTCCTCAGCTCCGGCTGAGCTCACCGACATTGTCGGCATCCCACCTCGAAGAAGACCGAGGGCAGAGGCCGAGGCCCTGGGCATCCCTCACGACTCGGCTGCGAACCCCGACAATCGACCTCTCGATCGACGGCGCCGAACGAGGTCACCCCGTTTCCTCAACCTCGTCAAGGGCCGAGGGGGGTCCCTGCTGAGGGAGAAGATGATCGAGGGGGCGAGCAAGAAGTTTGTGGTGATCGTCGACGAGTCGAAGTGGGTCGAGAAGCTTGGAGGCAGCAGGATGGCCGTCCCCGTCGAGATCATCCCCTTTGGGTGGGAGTACACGCTGGTGAGGCTGAAGAGGATGTTTGAAGGGAGGGCGGGGTTCGACGCGAGGCTGAGAATGAAGGGGGAGGAGATATTTGTGACTGATAACTTGAATTACATCATTGATTTGTTCTTTGAGGATGGGATCGAGGGGGATTTAAACGAGATCAGCGATGAGATGTTGAGGACAGTTGGGGTTGTGGAGCACGGGATGTTTCTGGGGATGGCGACCGAGGTGATTATCGCGGGGAAGGACGGAGTGGTTGTCAAGAACAAGGAGGACCAAAGGAGGTAGCTTTTTTTTAAAAAAAAATTCCAATTTATTATTATGAATGAAAAATGGGAGAAAAGATTTCATTCTTGTGGCATTTCATTTGGGAAATTTTAGTTTTTAATGTGTACTAGGAATTTGCCATTTATATGGGCAACCCAGTGGATGATTGGGGCCTATTGTTGGTTGCTTTACCCCCCATGATTATGGTCGGTAATATTTATATTTTTATGATATGAAATGTTCAATTTTATACTAACTTCTACTGGTTGGATGTTGGATTACTTCAAAGGGGGAGGAGTTAATCTTCATGCTTTCAGTTTCTCATGCGAGCATTTGGTTACGTGCTATATTTGTGCATATTGCTTTGTGGGTATCAGCATAATTTTATCTGTTTGAATAGGCCTCGTCTCGTTTGACTGGTGACTTTGATGGATGATTAGATTTCTTTCTTTGTCCTTTGTTCTTTCGCTCTGCAGACATTTGTAAAGTCTGATGGTCTTGGATGATTAGATTTCTTTCTTTGTCCTTTGTTCTTTCGCTCTGCAGACATTTGTAAAGTCTGATGGTCTTGTTATTTCCATGTTGATTCCTTTGTTCTTTCGCTCTGCAGACATTTGTAAAGTCTGATGGTCTTGTTATTTCCATGTTGATGGTGGCCGCGGAATGTCTTACTCGTATTCTTTACTTGTCAACTTTAATTTGCTCACCCGGGAATATGCTTATAAAGCATTCAATATCTTATATATTCTTGTTTCGTATCGACAGGGCGGGTCTTTTTTATGCCCCCCAGTTGTTTGTTGAATTCACATAGTGGGAGAAGAATGTTCCAAAGTATATTCACCGCATAGAATGGTTTTTTAAAGTCTATAAAAGATTAAATGGTAATCACACCTGCTTTTTACTGAGCAAGGCTATTGGATTTCTCATTTTTCTGATTTCAATTCTCTGTTATCGGATTCGTTCAGTTGGTCAATAACCAAAGTGACCAGCTCCTCCATACTTCGTGCCTGGTATATTTCCTTCTTCTTCAAGTGACTTTGTTGGCAATGCATAATGATTGGGTTAGTGCGTTCGAATTGAAATTCGTTTTGGTATTCATAAAATGCATGTCCTTTGCGATCTGTGAAAGAAAGTCTAGAATTTCTTAGCATGCTAAATGGCTAGAATTGCTTAGCACGGTTAAATGAGTTGTTTACTCTTTGTTAACTGAGACATGGTTTTCGTCTTTAGAGGATCACCGTGGGTTTCCACTTAAGGTGAAGATTTGAGTGAGATCTAGAGTTTGGTCATATCCTGGTGGCTTCTTTTGAAACTACCCTCTATTTGTGCATTTAGCATCAAAGTCATTTACGGAGTCCTGGTAGGAAACCTTATTCCGGTTATATGTCAGATACATATGACTCTTAACAGATCATGGTTTTAAAGAAACTATTACGGGGCGGTGCTAAAATTTGAGAATTGATTGAAGAAACTGATAATTAATTAACACAAGACTAGATAATTTGTTGGCATGAATTATAACTTTTTGCATACTTCACTGCAAGTCCTTCATGCACCTCTTTGGTTGTTTTCCTTAAACAATCAATCTTCGATCTTATGAAATTATCTATACCTGTCACTTTTTATATTGTATGCTCGTGATCATGTTCCTCTAGCTTGTCATTCTCCGAACACTCGAACAAGGAGAAAAGTTGGCTCTTTTTGTCGATTCATTTGGCATCCTGAATACTATTTGCTATTGAGCTAAAGAAAAGGTTGGTTTTATCATTATTACTTTCAGTTGTGAATTGAGATTGTTTCTACTTACAAGAAGTCAAATATAGGTTGATTTCTAAGGTTTCTATTCTTAAGCGCTCAAATGTTCCAAAATCCTGGCTTTTATTGCAGCACTTCAGGACCAATGGCATGACATCTTCATGTAAATAAGGAATTTGGTTATTGATATTTCTAGAAAACTCTGATTCCTTTGGCTGATATCTGCTATATAATGTTAATTCAAGGTCTTGCGTGCACACAAGCCATTATCTAAATATTATCAGGTCTTAGCAGTTTGGATCAGGTTGTGTGCAGACACAAAACTATAAGATTTTCGACACCAAGTTCTGTCTGCGGTTTCATTCTTTAGCTTTGTATCCAGGCGGGCTAATCTTGTTGATGTACTTTTTTTCTCGGTTTGACGAGGGAGCCTCCCCACGATCCTTCGGACTATGGATATCAAACGCCGGAGTATGGCTAAGAGGCACACCCTCAAAAAAAAAAAAAAACTGCACACCCACACACATACGGCCTCGGATATTTCAGAAAATTAAATTCATGTGGCCCTAGGAGAGTTTGTAGTCCTATGAGAGTCGAACATGAGACTTTGGATTACAACTCGTATGCATCTTGACAACGCAGCGAGACCCTCTTGGGTTTTGTTGATGTACCTCAACAAAATGTGAAGTATGTGCTATTCTTCTCGTCTCTGTTAACCTTTATTTGGGTTGTACTTGTATTGTTGGGTGTAGTCATCTTTTTGTTGATCATACAACTTGCCAAGCTCTAACTGTTCATATTGTGACAGCTCATTTTTTGAATATTCTTTCATTTCGCAGTTTCTTTGCAAACTGTAAATGTGTGTTTCCTCCTCGACATGGTTTGTCAGCATGCGATGTCACTTGTTTATTTACATATATTGTTAACTGCTGCACGATATTGTTAGATTTCTCTCAAAGTTTACAAAGGTTACCTTGTGATGATATTCAATTTATTCAAATATCTGATATTTGCGTTGCACATCATTTAGCGATTGATTAATTTGAGTTGTTTTTATTTCTTAAAAAAAAAAGAGTTGTTTCTCAAAAAACACTTTTTCTCTGCTTTTAAAAAGCAAACGATTCATCAGTCTGAATATGAAGATTTTGGTTGATGTGATTGGATTGAAATGTAGTCATGTTGTATAATGTATATCTTTGCTAATTTGGGATCTCAAAAAGACATGAATAAGGCAATTAAATAATTTCTATTACATGTGTATATTACGAAAGAATTATGTATATTATGAAAGAATATAATTTACCGATGAATTAGTTATGAGGTTCATCATATGTTTTTAAATAGATGCATGACAGAAATAGTAAACAAACCCATTAACTCAAGATCATAACCAATTATGTGCCAAAACGCAATCATCATAACCAATTATGTGCCAAAACGCAATCAGAATGCGTATCAACTATACATTTTCAAATAATTAATTCTAGGTGTTTTTCGCTTTACTTTTATAATAACTGTGTATTTTATTTTTTTAGCTGCGTATTAGCAAGGAACTTTGAAATACTTATTTAAAATACTGAGTGAGCCTAATAAATCTAAATTTGCATATTCCGGACCTCGGAAAAAACACGCCCTCGAGTCTGGACTCTGGTGCGAAATTTAAGGTACCTGGGAAAAAAAAATCAAGCTCTTGCCGCAATAAATCCCGATATCGGCTAGCATCACGGACAAAGAAATTGTATAATAAGCGGAAGCAGGGTACTTTAGTTTCAAATGACTTTTGATACGTCCTCCTCCTCTCTTTAATTAAAAATTCTCCACAATTAACTTTCAAAATTGCAAATTACAAATTAGTATACGTATTTCACAGCAAGTCATCATCAAGGGCACATCCCCAAAAAGTAGGGGGAAAAGAATGTGTATAATAATATGCATTAAAAAACACGAGGACCTCCGAAAGCCTAATTTCTAGGCATCCCAATCATCCTCTGCTCCTGAACGCATCTCAGTTTTAACTTTGCTCCAGTTCTTCCTTTGCCTGTAAAAATTAGAACAAGGAATAATAATCACAACTAAAAGTCTTCATTCCCTTAAAATCAATCAATCAATGCCTTTAATGATTTCCCTCCTACAAATCATCAGATGTTCTTTAAAGAGTGTAGTTGGCGTGAATACTTCCTATTCTTCTGTTGGGTCCTCCAGAAGCAAGCCAATGCTCCAAATGCACAGCTAGCTAAAGCAATAGCCAGTGCAGCTCCAAGAGGCACTACAACGGCATGTGCCGTTGAAGATGTTGCATCATCTGAAATTGATTCCTCATTTTCGATTTTGACTAAGCCGTCCTTCTTGTAAGATGAAACTAGGGTTTCGCCATAATATTTGACCAAAAATTTGAACACTTCATCGTCATTCCAATCAACTTTGCTTTGAGAGCGATAGCAAGAAGGGCAAAGCTGCTTCGGTGGCCATATCATTTTTGGGAATTTTGGGTCGCCGGTCCCTAAATCTTTCTCTTCTTTCATTAGCCTTACATTTACTTTGTTGTGAGTTGTCCATAGCCAAAGAGCTAGGCTGCGAGTTGTGTTGAATGGGACGGAGACACTGCATATTATTGAAATTCTCGATTCAGGGAAACAAGTGAGGAAAATAGGTGGGATTGATTGTGGGTAATCTGGAGGTTATATTACCTTGAACACATCTCACCAAAATGCCTTCGGCATTCGTCACAAACGAAAAAGTTTTGGATGAACTCACAAATAGATGTGAAAGCTACATGGCTCTCTCCGTCTTCAGCTCGTACTGATAGGGAGTGTAGAAGAACCCAGAGGCCACAGCTGCAGTATACATAAACTGTTACAAATGCTTTTTGTGTGTGTGTGTGTGTCTGTGTGTGGGTCTTTTTGGGTGGGGTGGGTGGGGTGGGGTGGGGGTAGGTGAGGGGGGATCCCTGAATTACATGAAATAAAGTTCAGTGTGGTACACAGCTTCATTTTCTGTGGTTTTGATTTAAGAATCCAGACAAGGTGTTGATACTAAAAGTTTAATTTCACAGACATGAAAAAAACAACTGGAAGCAATAAGTGAATGTGACATTTGCTCCTAGAAAGTTAATTTTAAACTTTATATATAGGCTTGTTTTTTCCTCTAATGAATTTGTTTGTCTTTGATCTCAACATGCTAGCATAGTAGATGTTATCAAACAGCTATCTATATATATTTAGCTTACACCTACTTTCTTAATAATTGTGGTCATTTCAAACAGATTCGCCAAAGGTGAACCATGATGTGTTAATTTCAAGTTTCGTTGTCATGAATTGAAATTCATGGGCTGCCATTTTCAGTTTATTTTGCAAACAAATCCAGTTTCCTAATGAACTATTTTCAGCACTCTTTTACTAGAAAATAGTGAATCCTAGAAATGAATGACTTGTAGTTCACAAAACTATGTTAGACCCACACTTCCACCGATATAGTCAGCATCTATGGTTTTGGACTTGCACCATATAGTCAACATCTATGGTTTTGGACTCGCACCGATATAGTCAACATCTACTGTTTTCGAGTTGCACCGATATAGTCAATATCTATGGTTGTTTTGTATGTCTTCTTTTGTACCAGATATGGCCATTCTCCATATCCCACTCATCTTTGTACCATTTATGATTTATATACTAGTTATAGTCATTTTTGTATGCATTCCATATCCATATCCATTCGACCAGATATGGACAATAGATTTCCTGTTCAAACGATTATCCAAATTTGTATTTGATAAACGATTCAATGTGTGGATATGGTAAAACCTATATCCAATCTGCTTTGCATCCCTACATGCGGCAAATATATCCACTACAAGAAACAGGAACTCCATAAGCACTCCTCCAGCTAAGTAATATTATGAACTACCTATCCCTATATCTTTGTACGGTTGGGCTAAGACTTCATACTAGCTCAATTACATCTGGAGGAAATGCAATATTAAAACCTATTTTGCTTCAGAATTATACAGTAGTTTCTATTTTGCCTTCCAAATGAGACTTTAGTTGCAACATATGATAACCAAATAAATAAAGTAAATTGAATCAGAAAAAAGATTAAAAAAGAAAGGAAAGAGATGGCAATGAAAATGTGATGAACGGGACAATACCTAAAGCCCCTAGTTTCGGGTTTGCTTCCACGACAAAATGTCTGCAGCATAATATGATTTTGATCAAAACAAGGAAATAATGTTTTATTAATACGTAAAAAGGTTAGTATCAAAACGGTGTGAAAAGCATTTAAGGTTAAACTAATTTACAATGATGATACAATCATTCACATACCACATGAATAAAAAGGTTAATGGAATCACAAATTGGGAATGTTTGACACCTATATACATCGCTATATGCATACGCACATATATCCATTTATATATGGGTAAGGCTTCAAAGTTCTTGAAAAACTAGATGTTTGTTTACACCTCTCAAACTCAATAATTAGTCACTCAAATGGATGATTCATTTTGATAATCTTGTTTATCATTCCCTAAATGTATATAAACAAAAAGTTATACATTGTAAAAGTTTCATACCATCCGTCTAACCTATTAAACAACGATTGGATGAATAAGTTGGAACTCTACAAATCTTATATCCATAAGCATGTGGAAACAGATTTCTAGCTTGTTATATGGAAACTTTAAGCCTAGTTTATTTTGCAACCATTGGATGAATTGATTGGAAATCTTCAAACCATAAATTTTTACTATCTTAGGAATAATCTAAAGAAATGGCACGCCTAAAAGGCAAACCATAGTCCTTGGAAGAATATTGGAGCCAAGTAGTCAAGTTCAAACAGGAGAAAATTCCTCAAAAACTAATCATCTAAATGGGAAAATTGGGTATGAGATGTCACCCATGGTGATCTTCACCTGCTCCCATGTGACCAGTGGAGCAGCTCACCGCTAATCTATCACTTGGTAGCTCATTTTACTAAATGAGTTGTCACCTCATAATCATTTTTTCCTATATAACTTAACTGGATTTATAGCCCCAAAGACAAATCTAATGTCACCCAATCTACGCACATTGTCAGAGTAAGTTTATAGTATATACAGTTCTTATTGTGCCTTGTAAATTTATGTTATTTTGCATAAAGCATCACAACCAACTTTTGGTGGACATTTTTGAGCAACTAATGTCATTTGAGTCTCCTCTTAAAACAAATTAAAGAAAGTATATTCATTGAGAGTCTTGGCTAATCAAAGCTAAAACTTGGTCAAGAGTCTATTAAAAGCATAAACATGGGTTAAAGAGAGGAAGAAAGTTAGGAAAGGTCTACATTTGCTTCTTCTTCTTAACCAATTCAGGTGTAATTCCCATATTTCATCTTTGAAATGGAGTAGCTATGTTGTTTGGGCATTATCGAATTGAATCATTTTTTATTAAAACACTTCAATTCCCACTTAATTTTTTTGAAAGTGCAACTGGAAGATTCAATGAAGCCTTGAAGTTAAGATCACTGTTTTGATGAAATGGCATCCTTGTGAGTTGTGACAACCCACAAAGTTTAATCCTACATTGGTGGGTGAACAATGAATTGAATGGTTTATATAATAAAGCACGGGGCTCAAGTGTAGCATCGGCTAGTCTATTTTGGTAGTGGTTGGAGCCAAACAACGTGTTGCACTCAGTGGTCCCACAACTTGCTTCAAGCCAACAAGCTCGTGGGCCCGAGGCGTGACATGAGTGGTGAGCCAACTCAGATCCTTGGCAACCCTTACAACCTTGAAGTTAAATCTCCCTTCTTACATGTCTTCCCATATAATATTTATTTGCATGTAAACCTTTGCCTCTAGTTAGATAATAACACGATTAAATTGGAGAGTTCAGGTGCACCTCATCCAAGTTGTTACTAACTTCTACATTTAAACCATGGTTTATCTTGATTAACACAATAATAATACGAATGAACTGCTCTTTTACTTCAAGATATTAACAGTCCTACAAAAAGCAGAATGCGCACCCAGTATCCACGTGGAATTTGCTTTCCACAAATCCAAAAATGTTTAGTTGTGTTATTTTCATGAGATTTTTTGGCCGCATCCAAGCTGATAGAAGAAAGATCTTTAGGCCAGAGGTCATCAAAGTTCACAAGCAGTTCAGCAGTTCCTCTTCGACACCTAATATGGAAATGGTAGAGTAAGAGAAAGAGTTGGTAAATGATGCGTATTTTAGACATATAACTTATGATATTAACCTTTTTGAAGGATGATGAGCAGCCGATAGTTGGAAGAATTTAATAAGTGATGCCCGCGTTTCCGACCTAATCATCTGCAAATCTTATGAAAAAAACACAGTAAGTTCAACTTCTAAGATTTGCATGCATTATTCTTGTTAAAGTAAATCCAAGAGAAATAAATTTAACCTTGTTTTCAACAATTATATCAAATGCATTTGCAGTTGTTTCCTCAACATCATAAATAGCTCGAGAAATCTTCACAAATGATAACAAAGTTAGATGCTTGCATGAGAAAAGCACTACGAAATGTAAACACAGATAAAACAGCTGGCTATAATATATGTACATATGTGAGATATAAATCCCCTTATCATGAAATACCTGCGCAGGATCAGATGCATTCCGCAGAAGTGCATTATCATTTTCGTACTTTTCATCATCCAAGCTGAATGGGCTGCACATAAACAACCATATTAAGCACGTGTAGCTTAATTTTAGCGAGAGGCTAGGAATAAAAACTGCTGAATACTTCTGACCAAACAGAAATACAAAATAGCAAGTTAAAAGTACAAAAGGACAGAATACATGAAATAAAACAGTAGAATATTTTTGACCAAACAAACATACAAAAAATAGCAAGTTAAAAGTACAAAAGTACAGAATACGATGGTATCTGCTACTTCAGCTGATACGTTTGCCATTTCATAAGTTCATTATCCTCGAAACTGAGCATGCAGCTGACACTTAATCAAGTTCTTCATTTTTCTAATCCTGCCAGAATACAGCAATCAGAATGCAACATGACAGAGATGATGGTTATCTTACTCTCTCTACTTAGCCTGTAATTAGATCAAGTTATCACTCTAATTTTCAGTACATCAACTTATAGTAGATTTAGTTATCTCTTTGCCTTCCAGTACATTGACCATCATCATGATGTCAACATTCTTTGTAAAGCTGATGATTGATTGTAAAAGCCCTTTAAACCTTGTGGTGGCCACCTCATGCGCATCTATACATAGAAATTTCCATGGCATTACCATCAAGTAAATGAAGAAGTTTATTTCCAATGATAGATATTTGCATGGAGTTATCTCATGTTACTGATCCTCCTTGATGATATTGTTAGGTGTATTGCCTTTATTGCATTTAGGTGACCTTTATTGCATTTAGGTGACCAAATGGGCTCCTATGACCTAGTTGGTATGCTTGTTTAGAAGCTAAGGTTCTTTGACAAGATGAATATGCTTTTATCACCCTTGATGCCACACGAAATGTTATTTCACGAAAAGATGGTATTTGACCATTGCCATTTAGCAAAGACAGCATCTCCTAGTTGCCAATCAATTCAATGAGTTATGCAGTGTGGAGAATCAATAAAAATCTTCATTTAGTATATAATCATAACCTCTATCGGATCTCATTTTGATATGAATGAACAAGATGAATATGCCTAGGCCACCTTGATGCCACATGAAATGTTGTTTCCCAAAGAGATGGTACTTGATCATTGCCATTTAGCAAAGACAGCATCTCCTAGTTACAATTCAATTCAATGAGTCATGCAGTGTGGAGAAACCAATAAAATATTAAATATAATTATAACCTCTATCAGATGATAAGATCTCATTTAGCATGTGCGTGCATTTGACAAGCTGAATGGCCTGAAGCCAATTAGCTACGAGGGGTCAACCAGTCTAGAAAAAATGTTTCAACAAAAATTAATGAAGATTTTTAGCATCTCATAAGCTCTCTCATATCTCACATAGCATTGCTGGTATCATTACTTCATTATGGCCCACCACGAAATAAGTACACCGTACACATTGTTACTTCGTCGAGCTGAAGGCCCAAAGGTAAGTGGCCATTTAGGATCGTTGTCTTTTTCCTTTATGAGTATCTTTGATTTTATGATAATCAATTGATTTTATCCACCTTAATTAGAGTTGAAGCAACTTCGCTGTGGGCTATAATTTGTTCTAATGTCTAAATGAAACTCTTAGACAAGAAGTAGAAACATAGAAGAAGAGTAGAAGAGGAGAGAGGAAGGTGAAGGAAGAAATTTCTTTCACATAGATGAAACAGTTTTTGCCTTTCTTCTACATTCATTCTTCAACTCTTAACTTCTCTTCTACTTTGCAAGTGTTCCTCTAGTCTTTAGCGTTTTTGGTGAAAGAATAGCTTCACAAGGAGGTGATCACGGATCATCCAGCACAATCCTAGCAAAAATCTATACCGACCCCCAAATTATAGATTTCATGACATTAACTTTCCTAGCACTTAATGACTTGAAGCACTTGTTTAGAAAATGCATACACTTTAGAAAACAGAATTTGTTTACGATCACCAATGCATACGCAAAATTGTGAATCACAAGCAATAGCAATATTAAACATCACAAAAAGATACGTCGAATAACTTGGAACAAGAAAAGGCCTTGATACCTCAACGTATGTGCAACACGTAGTGTGGTAGCGTATAAGGTTAGATCCACTTGGGCTTGCTTGGTCAAGCATAGTTGAGAAATAAGGTTTTAAGGTTTTTTCTTTTTTTTTTTAATTTTTTACGTGATCAAGTCTATTTGAGTTTCTTATTATACCTTGTTATTTCATTTTTAGAATTTTTTGAATATTAAATCTGCACAAGATATTATCTGTTTTCATCATGAGCCAAAACAGTATTTAGCAAATTGACCAAAATTTATCATACAAAAATGTAGTATGTAATTGCTCAATGTTATATTTGTGGCATGCTTTTGTCCAAATTCTTACAGATTTGCAATATTACGTCTCATAATACCCTCATCTGTGCCACCTTAGTCTCCTGTAACTGCACAAGGCCCAACTTCAGTTCAGGCATAATGTGACAGCTCAAACCTTTCATATTTTACCCATATTCAGGAACTTCATTCAAGTTTAGGCAACTATCACTCACTGCATGACCTTATATTCTACTGTAGTGTCATTCAGATTGCTAATAATGTGTATTCAGACAAGTAAATAAAGGATAACAAAAAACAATTTCTCCATCACACCAATTTGGCTTTCCAAACTGCAATCCTGTAAACAACTTGTCAGAAAAAGACATACCATAGTTATAACTTGATCCTGATAAATGCATGGTCGATGGATGATCTGAATACACATAAACAGGATATGGGTTTCGAGACTGATATAAATTCTGAGGTTTTTATTGTACTAATTTGGACATATTATACAACGTAAATTCCAAACTTTCAGGATTAACTATGGAAAATAAATAAATACAATTTTACGCAACTGCGTTCCTAATTATGACCCGCATCTATGCCAGTATTTTATATACGATACACCGTTACCAAAATTCCAAAATATCAGGATTAACTGTAGAAATAAAATACACTTGAATGGTTCAGTTGCTAAGTAACCTGTGTCTGCCATTATCTTATAGACATATTAGGTAGCTTAGCCGCGCTATTTCCCTACTCAGTTCCCTCCAACATTGCTACTAACTGAAAATTAAACTATACTTTTCCCTGTAGTTGATCGGCATCTTTTGAAGGAAAAGGAGTATCTAAATTACACCATTCTCACAAGCCAATAAATACAAATTGTGAAACAAGGAGTCCTGAAAAGAATCCTGTAAATATCATGTCAGTAGCTAGTGAATCAGATTTTATAGAATGAAGGACCATACACTGTCAAATATTGAGAAGTGATGTGGCAAAACCATGATAGGCGAACGACTGACATTTGTGAACCAAAGCAAAAACAAAGAATAATTTATATCATATTATTTATATTATTATATATTCATGATGATTCATATATACACACACAATATACTTTTTCTGTTAAAATACTATCTTGGCCCAACTTTTCAATAACTTAAACAAAACCAATTCACCTGGAAAAGAAAATTCAAGCTTTTGGTTTGGATTTGGTTGTGATTTTGAGTTGATTAGAGTTGACCCTAATCACCCCATATAATTGAGAATTCCTTTGTCTTGAATATGATCCAAGTAGTAGTCATCTTTTGTTTAAAACTTTAAAGTAATAAACTAGAGTTGCATAGTTCCACTTCTAAGAAAGCTTCCCAGATCCCACCCATCAAAGGACTACAACCAATCATGTGGATTCTGGTTCTGAGCCTCCAGCTTGGTGTATTTTTATGTTCAGTCTTGATTACTTAAATAAAACTACATATTTTATATGTTACTTAGTCATAGTAGGCACATTATTAAAAAGTATGATGGCATGAAAACCATGCTTCCTCCATCTATGTTATAATACAGAAATTAAAAGCTGGATACTTTAAGCTTCTTGTTCATTTCCTGATGCCCGCAATCAAAGACATTCTCTGTTATCTGAAAGCATTTTAATTTCAAAGGATGAAAGATGGTGGTCCTATAGGCTGCTCTGATTGTTGCCAAGTATGTTTTATCTTTTCCCCTTTCTTGATACTACAAAATACAAACTGGTTCCTGGAGTCAATCTCGAACTTTTCATCATGGGTATCGCCTTTGCCTAGGCAGCCGCCTAGGCAAATGGCTAAGCTGCTTTTTAGAACAATGTTGTCTAGAGAAACACATGGCACAGTCCTATTTAGAGCATTGGTCCATAGAATTATAGAAAATTTTCCTTCTTTATCTGCCTTCCCCATCAAGTTCATCAACTAGGTGGTTAGTAAAGGCCCCTCCAATAGCCACCAATTGGATGGAGGGAAGGCAAATAAAAGAGGCATTCATCTATAGACTAATGGTCTAATTAACATGTTTGATCAATTAAATCCAAAATCTAGGATTAGTTACTTACAAGTGGATGGAACTGAATTAGAGTGGTTTGGGGGTTTCAAAATTGATTTACACTGGATTTTGACTTGGTTCAAAATTTTATGTTATTTTATCTTGTAATAGGTTTATTTATTACTTCCGCTAGATTAAGAGCCAAGCTTCTTAGTTGAGTGGCGGTCTTTATTTTTTTCATATCAATTGAATGAGGCCAAAGGCAACGATCGAGGAAGGATTGACAACTTTTAATTAGTAAAATAATGAAGCGTATTAGGAAGGATTGACAACTTTTAATTAGTAAAATAATGAAATGTATTATTGACCTTGTGAATTTAAGGATTTATGATGGATTCTAGATTTTTTTGAGTTGATGCGCTTCCATATCAAATTTTTATGGAAGTGTAGGCATCAATGTCTCTTCTACTTTATCTCTCTCTGACAATGATCATCTCTTCAACTGTACATAGTTAAAAAAACTACGTATAAACAAGATTTTTATTATTCTCAAGTTGCTTAAAGACACCCCATGCCAAAGTGGAAACAGAGCTTACAGTCAAGCAAAAGAAAAAAAACCATAAATAATATAGTCAAATAAAGCATGTGTGACAATGCATTCTTTAGTTTATTGAGTCGATAAAAAAAATTATACCAAATATTTTTAAAGAAAGCGGCTAAATAAACAGATGATTCTACGAAAGGTACCAACAGGTTTAGAAGCAGGGTACTCTGATGTTAGCCTCATATAGAGATGAACAAGAATGATGCAGAAAACTTGCCTGCCAATTCGCTTATTTATCCAGTTAAGCAACCGCTCAGCTGTCCTTCCATCATCAATTGGCAGTATTTCATTATTCTTTTCCTTAGGATCCCATTGGCCAGCAATGAATTTAATTGGAGGACCCCACAGTAGCATGGGATAATAAGTAACTGAAAATTTATTGCAAAGATCCGTATTCACCTGTGTTGCCAAACATTCAAATTGAAGAGCTGGTCATAAAGGTAGAATATTCCAGAAATAGGCAATTTCATGTCTAGTAAGCCACATAGAAAATCAATGACTTGTAAGCAATAACAAATAACAGAACTAATGGTTTAATTTAGCAAACAGAACCCTCACACCTTCATTTGAATATAATTAATGTGAATTTGTTAGCAGTATATAGAAAGACCAACCAAATGCATTGCACACAAGATAATGGTCAATTCCTACTACATATTTATATACAAACTTTAGGCTTGGTTAGGTACAAGGGGAGGTAGGTTAAAGTGAGGGACAAAACTAAAAATCCTCTTTGGTAGAGGGGTTTTTAGAGGGTGAAGTGCGATGGGGGTGAGTTGAAGTGAGGACAGAAATAATGCAAAATGAACTAGAAATCGAGAGCGAGAGAGAGAAGAGAGAGACAGAGTGAGAGATAGAGAGAGAAATCCCCCAAATTCGGAGGACATGAGGAGAGAAGGTGAACTACAAAAAGGTCCACCTACTCTCATTCTCCTCCAACCAAACATGAAAGCTAGAAGGGATGTCCATCACTTCACTCCATTGTACCTCACCTCACCTCACCTCAAACCCCCTAACATCCCAAGCCTTACACCTCACCTCAAACCCCCTAACATCCCAAGCCTTACACCTCACCTCAAACCCCCTAACATCCCAAGCCTTAGTGATGATTCAGTGATAGACCGGGGGTAAGAATGTCACATCAGCCCTGTTTATCATATATATCGTGCGCGCGCACGTGTGTGCATACTTCTATTACTATTTATTAAAGGAAGCTGACCTTCTGGACCACTTTTTTGGTGTTATACCTTTTACTTGGTCACAATTTCTAAAAAAAACAATGATATACTTGCAGCTTAAATTTCTTAAAAAGAATTGT